CAAATTTCCCTTGAAAATGGGTGCCTCTATCACTTATGATGGCTCGAGGTGTCCCAAATCGGGAGAACATCTGTTTCAGAAATGAGTAGACCCGTCTTGCATCATTGGTGGGCATGGCTTGAGCTTCTGCCCACCTCGAGACGTAGTCTACCACAACCAATATGTACAAATTACCAAAGGATGGAGGGAATGGGTCCATGAAATCGATGCCCCAAACATAAAAAATTTCACAAACGATAGATATATGTTGGGGCATCTCATCTCGCGAAGAAATGTTACCTAACCTCTGGCAGCAGTCGCACTGTCGTGCGAAGGTAACTGCATCCTTGAAGAGTGAGGGCCAGTAGAAGCCCGAATATAGCACCTTCCGCGCCGTGCGGTTTCCTCAATGGTTACCGCTAGTAGGTCCCTTGACATTGAGACAGGATGTCTCCCATCTCGTGATCCATCATGCATTGCCAGATCACGTCATCTGCTCTGATACTGAAGAGGTATGGATCCACCCAGAAATAATGCTTCAGGTCAGAGAAGAACTTGCTCTTGGCGTGAGTGGCCATCCCCTTAGGCAACTGTTTGCCCACCAGATAATTGGCAAAATCGGAATACGAAGGGGTGACTCTCTCCACCAAGAACGACGCCATCAATCGCTCTCCCGGCAATGGAGCCAAAAACTTGACACGCTAAAATACAACACCAAACTGAGACCATGTTTAATCGCAGAATAGAAATGCAGTATAGTGGAATCAAGTAATAAATGTCAACCCAGGGCCTAGATGTACTACCTACTCTGTGATTATCTATTATCTAGCGGGAAAGTTTAGTGAAAATGAGTTTAAACTAAAGCAGAAAGAAATCAGTAAATTGTATGATTTCCTGAAGCAAGAGAAGAATCACTCGGGAATGAGTCCCCCTAGCTCCTTAGTTAGGTCCACGTTGTAATTTCCTTAGGTTGATTTATTTGTGATTAAACTGTGGCAGATTCGACAGTAGCTTGGAATCTCTTAAACTGACCACCCCCTATTAGACAGACTAACCGGCAGACGACTAGTCTTCGCCGGGATAGAAAGCTAAGGAAATTAACACAAAACTCCACTATTGGAACCAGGTTCCAGTACAAAGCAGTGAATCGACTAACTCTCGTATAATCAATTTACTCCTATCGATTAAAGAAGATCTAACAACCTAATCAGATTCTATCTATCTCAGGTTGCAGCAGAAATCGAAAGAAGTTGATCATGATTCAATTGACTCAATAAACACACTTCAATTGATTATAATCAAACAGTATATCAATCCAAAAGTCATTATAACTCAAATCCCTAACACATGGAACTAGGTTTCTTCATACCCAAGTGAGAGAAAGGTCTACACCATAGAGAGGGAGAGTAGAAAACAATAATCAGAGGAATCATACTCATAATGATGGATACGATAAGCTCTGGGATGATAATTTTCACTCCAAGGCCGAAATCCAAGCTTGATTGATGAAACCCAGCTCCAAAATCGATCCTAGGGTTTGTTCTTCGTACTTTCTCTCTCTAGAACTCTGTTTTTTGTTCTGAAAATTCGATTTTTTCGCTTTTGGGTCGAAACTGCCAGTTTAACCCTAGACCGGCCAAAACACGGCCGTGTCCAACTTATCCCGCCTGTGTTTTACAAAATCACGTGGAAAAACTAAAATCGATGTGGGAGAAACACACTCGTTCCAAGGAAAACACGGTTGTGCCCAAAGAGGGACACAACCGTGTTTCAGCCGCGAAACGCCGGTATTTTTCATTTTTCAGCAGCAGTCACCAACAAGCTCTCGGCATTAAAAACACTGGCAGGGTACACGACCGTGCTTTGGGGCAATGGCGCCCGTGTTTTGCCCCTTGCATCGATTCAGCTAGCGCACTAAAAAGCATTGGCGTGCCCCTTAGTGACCACGGTCGTGCTCCTTAGTGAGACTGCCCGTGTTTTGCTCCAGCCACACTGAATGACCTTCAAACGGCCCGAAACTCGCGCCTAAACCTTTCGTTGACGTATGGACCTGAAATGTGACAAAAGAATGAAACCCATCGTAAAATAGGCCAAAGACACGCGACTACGAGCCCAAACGGATAAGAAACGAGGATGCAAACATGTGCAAATATAACGTTATCACATAACCAGGTTTGTTAATGCCTAGAGGTAGTTCCATGTATACATCCTCTTCAAGGTCACCATTAAGGAAAGCATTATTGACATCTAACTAAATCATTTGCCAATTCTTGGCAGCTGCAACAGCCAAAAGAGTCTTGACAGAGTTCAATTTGGCAATTGGTGAGAATGTATCTAGGAATTCAACTCCATAGATTTGTGTAAACCCTTTTGCCACCAGTCTGGCTTTGTGTCTCGCAATATCTCCATCAACATGGAATTGTTGCATAAACCCATATGTTTCCTATGACCCTTTTGTTAAGTGGTCTAGGAACAATATCCCAAGTTTTGTTTGCTTCCTTTTCCTCCAGTTCCACATCCATGTCCTTTCTCCAATGTTCATCCTTAACTGTCTCTTCAAAACTTGTTGGAAGTGAAGTAGATTCCATAACCAACACATATTTCTTATAACCTGGAGATAGTTGATCATATGACAAGCAAGCAACCAAAGGATATGTAGCTTTAACATGTGTTGTTCCTAAACTCAGGACATAATCGTTGTACTTGATGGGTTTCACCACTTGTCTGGTTGGTTTTCTAACAACAATTGGGAGAGAAGGATTTGATGGAGATGGTGGAACTGGAGTAGGAGACCCCATTGGACTGGATGGAGAGGAATTTTTTTGAGATAAAGGATGAGGAGAGGAAGTAGAAGGAGAGGAAGGAATATTATCAGGGACTGGAGAAGAGGGAACGTTTGAGGTATCCTGTGCTTGTGATGGCACTGGATCAGAAGGTATTTGAGATGCAAGTTTGGAAGAAGTAGTGGTAGGAGTAGGTAAGCAAGGTATGATATTTTCATGAAACACCATATCTTTGGAAAAGAAAACTTTCTGATCTTGCAGATCAAACCATTTGTATCCTTTAATTGTTGGTAGAAATCCTAGGGAAACACAGGGTTTAGCTCTAAAAAGGAACTTGGTTCTATTGTGAATGGAAGTGCTGGCATAGCACCAACAACCAAACACTTTTAAATTAGATAGGTCAGGAGGATGACCATATAAAATTTCATATTGAGTTGTGTTCCCAATAGCTACTGTAGGCTATCTGTTTATTAGATAAACAACATGGAGGATGCAATATGAACAAAATTTTAAAGGGAGTCAAGATTGGAACTTAAGGGCTCTAACAACATTTAATATGTTTTGATGCTTTCTCTCCCCACGAGCATTTGGTTGTGGAGTTTCAACACAAGAAATTTGGTGGATGATGCCAAATTTAAAATAGAACAAACTCTGCACCTTGATCAGATCTGACTGTCCTAACAGTTTTCTCAAATTGTGTTTGAACCATTACACAGAAGTCTTGCAACAATTTTCTAGCTTCACTTTTGTATTTCATAAGGTATGTCCAAACACATCTGGATTTTTCATCTAGAATGGTAATAAAATAGGAAAAACCATTGTAGTTAGAAACAACCAAAGGGCCCCAAATATCAACATGTATGAGCTCTAAAACATCTTTTGCCATTGACTGGCTTGAAGAAAAGGAAAGACGTTTTTGCCTGGAAAGAGGACAAACATCACAATTGTGAACAAAATTGTGATTATACTAGGAACTACTCTCTTTAACTCTTAGCTCATAAGGATTTCCAAGTCGCCAGTGCCATAGATCAAAGGATTAAGGTTTGAAATTTTGAGTCTTGAGGAATTGCCATGCATAGGTGTTGCTTCTGTGGTTGTAGGCGTGAGTTGATAAAGACCCCTAGTCTCTTGGGCAAAACCAATTATTTGGTTTCTTGTTTAGACAAAATACCTCCTCCTGTGTTTCCTCTAGTTGGTGAACTGAACTGTACTGAAATTAGAATAGGATTACGTATCAAATTTTTTGAATTAGTATAATTTGAGATTAGATTAGATAGATTAGAATTTATTAGGTGAAATTAGAATTATTACGAATGAAAATGAATTAATATAAGTTTTGTGCATTATAGGTCGGTGATCGATCTTACCATGTTCGAGGTACGACCAGTTTAGTGACGTACCATGAGCTTTATCGACCATATCTCGAAGCGGCAGACTTGTTAAGTATCGTGCCCCTAGTCCCTATGAACTTCGATGCGAGTTTGATTACTGCGCTCGTAGAGCGGTGGCGACCCGAGACGTCGACCTTCCATATATCATTTGGTGAGATCACGATCACGTTAGAGGACGTTGGCGATCGACGGTGATGCCGTTGTAGTTGATATACCGGATGAGGAGTGGTCGGCGATCTGTTTGAGACTGTTAGGACGGGTTCCGGCTGATCTTTCAGGCGGTGTCGGTGTCGTTAGGAATGTTTGGCTGAGGGATGAATTCAGTCATCTGCCGGGAAATGCATCACAGGAGGTTATAGAGCAGTTTGCACGAGCTTATGCTCTATCTCTGATGGGAGGTGTACTTTTCCCGGATCGGTCTGGAGCTACGGTGCACCTACAGTACCTACTTCTGATTGAGGATTGACAGAGAGCTGGACGGTTCGCCTGGGGAGTTGCTGTTTTGTCCTACCTGTACCGTGAGATGGGTAGGTCGACTTTGCACATTACGCATTCCGGCACTTCTCTAGGCGGTGAATTTTAATCCGCATTCTTTTCTCCAAAACACAATATCTTTGTCAATACTTTTTAATCCGCCATATTGGTGGTAAATTTTTTAAAAAAAAAACAATATTGTGTCATTCTCCCTCACATGGACCACTTACCCTATAAAAGCCGTTATGGGAAATGGAATTCAAATATAAAGGGTTGTTTTCATTACTTAATTGCTTGTGTGTATTTGTAGTATGAAATAACTTGTAATTTATCTATATTTTTTATCAGACTTATATTATACAATTATATATTCATTTATTTCGATGGAAGTATAAATTAAAGTTTTAGAAACTTCCAGTGTCCTAAGAAATGGCATTGCTTGTTCAAAGACTTCAAGTTGATGAATTGCAATATGGCATTGAATCAAGAGGGGGAAAGATACATTACAAGTGGAAATTATTTTGGAGAGCGGAAATGAACAAAAGAAAAATAGTTTGGTTCCACGCAGACTATACAAACAAGAGCCAAATTCTAATAAACGCCACTAATCAAATCATTTGCATTCGGTAGGAAGGCCTTGCGGGAAGCGCTTGAGATCAGTACAATAGTTATAGATCATGAAATTCCTCTGGACCCATCTCAGCCGCCGTCTGGAGTTCGCGTCCAATGCATTTGATTGCCAGTCCCCACTCGCAAACGCGCCACCGCTGCTGCGGGACCGGGAAGAAGAAACAGGGGTGACCTGGAAGTTCCTGTAGTAAGCAGTGAATGGCGCCTTGGACCAATCCGCCTTCACCAACCCTCCCCGTGTCGCCCAATCGTCCGCATTCCACAAGCTTGAGTACAGCCTCATCGCCTGGTTCTTGGGGAATGGAACTCCCCTGTTCTCGGCATTGTTGAATACCCTGATCGGGGTGTTGTCCACCAAGAATCTGCATATAATAATCATTACATGTGTCAAATTGTAGCTATAATGTAACACATTTTCATTGAATAAGTGATGTGATCACGCTTGATCTGAGACTTACGTGATGTGCTGAGGCTTCCAGATGATGGAATAAGTGTGAAAGTTCTTGGTTGGGTCGAACCAGAGGTAGAACTGCTGCTCTCTGTTACCTTTCCCCTGAGTGAACACATTCGTATGCAAAATATAAGGATCTCCGCTCACATTCCCTAAGAACTCAAAATCAATTTCGTCGTGAGTTGCGCCTTGAGATGACAACTGCAACATTGAAAGCACACACAGAAAATTTTGTCAAATAAGCTGCAGAAGAGAAGCAAAGATAATGGGAGAAAAAAAAACAGAGGAAGAAGTTTGAAGTGAAAAACAGAGCAAAGCGGTGTGATTTGGTTTGGGCTGGCATTACGTACGTAGTAAGCGGTGACGGTGCCGGCAGAGTTTCCGGCGACGAGCTTGAGCTGCATATCGATCCGGCCGAACAAGTACTCCTTCTTGGATTGGAATCCAGAGCCGGAGGTCTTGTCAAGAGACAGAGACAGAAGCTGGCCGCCGCCGAATATCTTGGCTCTCTGCCCTCCCCAAGTTAAATCGAAGTCATGGTAGAAGTTGCCGCCGATGGCAGCTCCGACCATCGTGGCTAGCACAGCCATGGAAATGAGCAGGCTTTGATGAAAAGAGGAGGTACCCATTTTCAGGTTTAGGGTTTATCGGGGAGGAGAGGGATTAGTGGAGGGAAAACAGGGGGACAAGGGTTTGTTTGAGTTGTGAAGAGGATTGTTGAGGCAGAGGCGGTATTTATATCTAGAGATTAGAGGATGAGAGATGATGGGGGCGGGGAAGGAAGGAGAGAATTAGAGAAATGAAGGATACGCGTGAGGCAGAGGAGGACGCCAAGTTGCAGCTGTTGCCAGCTTAGCCATCTCTCTTCAATGTAGAAAGAGCCATCAGCCATGGCTAGCTTTTGAACAGAGTAGATACAAATTTGGTTTGTTTGGGTATGGGGATGGCTCCCCAATTCCATCTCGCCCCTTCTTTTTTCCTGACAGTAAAAGCCATTGAATTCAACAAACTCTTATTGTCCATGCTCGAAAGTCGAAAGTTCCTCATAAGCTTTATGAAGAACTTATGAAAATTTCGAAAGATATTTATCGAATCAAATAAGTTTATAAGAAGGATTAAAATGTAGTGAATGTTTTTAATTTGCCTCCAAAATAAAAATCAATCATTTAAATTATGAATTATTATTATTCGTGGGATCATTTAACTGTATAGGTCGTAGAATCGAATAACGAGTTGCAGTATATTCAACATGGGAAACATCCCGTAACTCTATGCTTACTAGCTACCTACTAATAAGATTGATGACCCAAAGGAGAGTTTTTCTATTTTCCTTTTGGATGAAGGTTGGAGAAAGATGCTTAGTATCTTTATGTGTTATAGCTAGCACATATGGCATAACAAATCTCATGGGGCCTCGGTGGAAAACAGAAAGTATTTGCAGAATCCTTGTTTTAGGGGGATTTGGTAAAGAGGGAGAAGAAAGCAGCCGGACAATGATTCTGAGAAGGAATAAAGCTATGGTGTTACTTGTTAGAATGTTAGTATATGATTTTTAGTTTTGTAATCCTCCTTAGGAAATCGAATCATTGGCTGTTACTTGTGGATGACAGCAGAGTGTTTTTGCCGTGGGGGAATAATGATGGCAATCATTAGTCCATTCTCTTCGGACGCCAGTAATCTTTTCCGGATAATTATAAATTAGCATCCTAATTAATCGATAATTATCGTATACTACTCCCCTAAAAAAAAATTATCGTATACTACTAATTTAGTTACAAAATCATTAGAGCAATCATCACTAAATAATAAAATATATATTGCTATTTGCTAGTTTATGGTTTAAAGACTGGCCAGATGGGTTCTGGAGATGAAATTTTGGGATGTATTATGGGTTTGGGATGATATTCTGTGTTCAGTTGGGTTTTGGGCAGGTTTGTGAGGAAAAAAGATGCATTTGATCTTTTGTTTTTTTTTTCTTTTATATTTATTTTTTAACTTAATTGAAATAATTCATAATCGGAGATTATGTGGCTTTTTTGAATTTTTTTAACATTTATTATGCCGATTGGGCGGTGACGTGGTGTGATGACCGTTAGTCAACGTGTTTGACCATCCAAGATAACAATCAAATCTCATATTTGGCCAATTTCGTAACTTTGATGTATAGTTGAGGCCATGATGTTATAGATCGAAAAAATTGATCAAAATATCTAATATTTGAAAAGTTCGGGCCATACAAATATACAACTATTGACTTAACCTCGTTAAACTAATTTTCACAAAAATAAAGTAGCTACATGGATGACACACCATAAAAATAAATTAAGTTAATATAGATTTTTTTTTAAGAAAATGCTACTATAAAGGTGAGGAAAACCAGCACCTTCCTTGAGAGTTCTAAGCTAAAAACCAGCAGCACGACCGCGATCTCATTCGCAGTTAATGAAGATTTTGACTTTTGAGCATATGAAATTAGGGATTGGATAATGTATTAATAGTAACACTTATTATAAGGGTAGTATAGTAACTATCTCTTCTCCCTTCCATTCTCTTTCTTTTCCCCCTTACCATTCACGTTGATTTTTTATGTTTCATTTATAAATTACAGTTTTGGTACCTAAACTTAATAGATGTTAATATTTAGTACCAAAAATATTTTTTTACATTTGTGTCCCAAAAAATCTATGGAAAATTACATTTTAGTATCTAATATTTTTATTTCTTACATTTTGGTACCTAAGTTTTTTTAAAATTTACAAACAAGTCCATTGCTGAGGAACTTCTGGTCTGCTATGAAAAACTTCTAGCCTACTTTGAGATTGTGGCCTACTATGAGGAGATTCTGGCTTACTTTGAGGAGGTTCTGACCTACTTTGATAAGGTTCTGACCTATTTTGAGAATGTTCTGGCCTACTTCGGTGGTTCTCCTCTCTTCCTCACAATTAATGCAAAAAGGACGGCTGGTCCCCATCACAATTAAATGAAAAAGTTGTCCAAACGAAATATTCCTATTGGTTGGAGCTAGTGTTAGTATTCTAGTTTTTCTCAATAGAATTAAGTAGGGTTATAGGTATAAAATGCCCCTCTACTATGTCGTTTTATCAAACATGCCCCTCTACTATTTTTTACATCAAACATGCCCCTATATTTTGGAAAAATTATCAAACATGCCCTTGTGTTAAAATTTCCATTGAAAAAATCGTCAATCATGGTTGAACCAAGATCTACAGAACCCGACATCGGCAAATGGGAGGTGAAATATCACCTTTTGTCCCCTGTTTTATTTTTCTGGGTCTCGTTGAAGTGAAATTATTAGAATTATTTGGCTATAAAAAGAACCAAAAAAATTCTGAAGTGGAATTATTAAGGATATTTTTTACATTTGTATCTCCTAAACCAAAGTTCGATCGTGGTTAATGGGTTTTCGGATGAAAATTTTAACAAAAGGGTATGTTTGATAATTTTTCCAAAGTACAGGGGCATGTTTGATGTAAAAAATAATAGAAGGGCATGTTTGATAAAACGACATAGTAGAGGGGCATATTATACCTATAACCCAATTAAGTAATAAGATATACCCAATTAAGTAATAAATATCTTAGACAAAATATATAGAATTACCACGTTGGCAGGTTGATTCATTATCCTTATCCAAATAGAAATACATAGATTTGCATGGGATGGGAATGGGAACCATGGTCTTCCTTGTGTTCGTCGTCACCTTTAAGCTGCTGGCTAAGACAGGAAAATTATATGTCAGTCGGGAGCTAGCTGGCGCCTGGCTGGCACGCATACGTTTCCAGAAATGTTGAGAGGAGCTTCCAATGCCATTATTGGTAACCTTCTCGTCGCTACTGCTCTATCTGACATGAATGTATTTGTAATTGTTACGTTACGTCCCTGTCGATTATCCATGGGATCCCCGCAATTCAATTTTCTGCGACGATCGATGGTTAATAATACCAGTCATGTGATGTGACTGTATGTATTATGTGGCTCCCTCTGACTGACCATAATGCGCCCCATAGGTTTGGAAGCAAAATGCAGGGCGTTATTATCCATTCCGTGCACTCTCGGAATTTTTTACAATCTTTTGTCACCTAGTTTCGACGAGATTGTATCTTTTAGCCACCATACTTCCATTATGATTGGTTTTAACGACGGTAAGCATGACTACCGTGATAAGTTAGTTATAGTGACCATTTTTTTTTATTACCAATGAACTTCAACCTCTCGTGCCACTTCGTGACAACGGGGTCTACTAAATCTGGGGAGTACCTATATCAGCAACAATTTTTCAAGGCCTAACACCCGATATTAGAAGGAGACAAAGTCTCCAGCACTCGCGGTGCCTCCAGAAACACCAAGTGGTGTAGCGGGAGTTTGAACCTGAGGCCTCACACCTCTCAGGCCCGAAAGATCACACTCCCGACCAACTCGGATGTTACCTTCAGCAATGACCATATTTTTTAGTTCGTCACTCTTATAAAAACGATGACAAATAAGTCTGTGATAAGTTAGTTATAGTAACGCCCACGCATCATTTTGTTCACAGCGACTCGTGGGTACAAAAAAAAAACATTTTTATCAGTTAGTAGAGCATGTTGGCCTCCACAGCACCAATCATAAATTACCAGGCAATGTCTATTTTTTATTCAAAATCTTTACAGATTCTTTTATATTATCCAAATCTATTAAAGATCTATTAATTAGCCAAATTTTTCATAATGCATCAAAATATTAGCCATTTTTACTGTATCGTTAATAATTTTCTCTTTTCTTGGTTAAAATACTAAAATTTTGGATTGTTGATCTTCATTTGTCTCTTCCAAGTCAGTATCATGTTACCAAGTCAATATTACTAACAAAATTGCTAACTGGAAGTTAACACTTGGCTAATTCTTAGTATTTCGATAGATTTGAATAATAAAAATTAAAAAATATTTGGATAAAAAATAAACATTATCCTATATTAACCAATAGTTCGCAAAACCGACATTGGGGCAAGTTATGTAACCGCGGGTTATATACGGTGGAAATTCAGGTTTCAGACCAAGGGCAATTTGGAGAAGATGAAAAATATTCAAGATATGTAACGCGGGTTATATGCCCCACCAAACATAAGATTTGTGATATATCCTAATCCTCATCAATAATAAGTTTGGTGTGTGCACTAACTAACCGAAGAACGATGGAGAATTTCCAGTTCATTTCAGGCTCATCAACGTACTTTGTCGTTGATGAAATGGAAATCACATATTGTCAAAAAAAAAAAAAAAAAACGTACTACAGTTAATACATGGAGGGAGGGAGGGAGGGAGGGAGGGAGGGAGGGAGATGCATGAACTAGTTAGGTCCGATGGATCGTCGCTAATTAATTGTCTGCATCGACGTATTTCGTGTCTTTCTTCTGGTAGTATTCAGTTCACTGATTTGGTGCAATTCCTTCCTGCTGGCTGGCAGCTGATATATCTTATTCCTCCAGCTGAATTTCTGGGCCTCCACAGGCACGCACCAATTTGTTTATTAAATTTCCGCCACCAAATACAGAAGGCTGTCTTTTCAGAAATTAAAAGCTTTTTATTCTGAATTTAATGAATATGCATGATTCCCAGTACGTTGATGGTTCCTGTCTACTGCTTTTGGCAGGAATTTTCGAACGATGTGATGGAATTCGGCTTCATATAGCTATCTTTCGATTTCTCAAGATAATTATTTTAATTTTGTATTTTCAAGGTACTTATATGCCGGTTGGTGGTGACAGTATATATAATTGTGATAGAATTACAAATTTTGGGCACATCTCGTGATTACTCGTAACAAGATACAATAAAAGAGATTTAGGAATTAGAATGAGAAATAAGAATTTAAGATAGGATAAATACAATATAATAATCAACATTTTCATTTCAAACAAAATAGGGATAATATCACTACAAC